TACAGAATGTGATAGTTTTTAGTATCTGCATAAAGTTGTGCAACCATGACCACAATCAAGTTTAGGACATCTCATCACCTGATTAAGAAATTCTGGACCATTTAAACTGTCAATCCCCAATACACACTCCCTCCACCAGGCACTGTGATTGCACTTTAAAGACAAAAGGACTGAGGCTCAGAATGCCGCTGGGACTTGCACATTAGGCAGGAGCAGGAAGTAGAGCCGGCACTGGCCTCCCCTGCCCTGCCTGCCAGGGGTCTGTCTCCTCTGTAACCCGTTAAAAATGCACGTTCTACAGAGGGTGGAAAACAGAACCAGATGGTGACAAATCTCACACGTGCGGCTGCTTCCGCGCCAGGCCCATGACTCACAGGGACACTGAGGGCAAAGGCAGGACATGAGGCAGTCCAGCCCCCATCACCCCAGTGCAGAGGTGGCAAGGCTCAACCCCAGGAGGCAGAGACAGGAGTGGGGTAAGCGGCCTTCAGGAGGCTGGCTACCTGGGTTCCAGATGGTTCACAGGGGCCCCACTCTGCTGACCCCATTCCTGCAACCCACAATCCCTCCAGGACTCACAAAGTGGCCCCCACCCCAAGCTTTCACGTGCTTCCCAGGACTTCAGAGGCACAGTTGCTAGCAGAGGGCCCTCCCTGCCCACAGACCCTGAGGTTTAGGGTCACAGAAGCATTGAGGGGACTGCCGCTTTGATTGCTCAGGCTCCCCAAGGGAGGCCCTCCAGAGTGGTCCAGCAGGTTGCTGCCACTGCCTGGGCCCACCCCCAGTCTGGGACCCCAGGGTCTGACAGCCGCCCCCCACGCAGAGGAGACCCTCTACAGGAACGACTGGGCCTCCCCACATCCCTTATTCCCCTCTCCTACACATCCTCAAGGCTGCCCTGGATCAGCAGTTCTCTCTTGCTGACCAAGGGCCTGACACTTTCTTTTGTGTTTATAATGTCTAAACAGTCTAGAGCCAATGCCACCTCCTCTAGCAGTCTTCCTTGATGACCTAATGAAAACAAATGGGTCTTCCCCCTGCTGCCTCACGAAAGATTGCAATCTGTCTGCTTTTATGTCTGAGTCCCATTACCCTCCAGAATCATCCAGGGCAGGGATCCTAGCTTCCTCATTCTTGGGTTCCTCCTCTGACCCCCTTCTGACTCCGACATGCCGGGTCTGTCAGCAGAGCCAGAAGGAAGTAAGATAAAGTGCCTGCTCCTCAGTTTCAGGTATGAATTTAACCGCAGTGCACAGAACCCACCTACGCCTGCCCTGGTGCCCATGGTGAGTGACTCTGGGATGGCAGAAGAAGTGGAAGAGGTCATGGTCACTGCCTCCCACTGCAGATTCCAGCTGGAAATGAGGATCAAGTCACCCATTTAGACAGCTGTTGGACAGAACAGCTCAAGTCCAAACGGCTGCAAGTCTGTCCACACAAAGGAGGATTTGTTCAGAACATTTACAACTGGAAGGTCTGCCCAGCCATGAGGGCCAAGCTCAGGACTAATGTCCTTCATCTCTGCACCTGCTGCCCTGCCCAGACCTGGTAAAAACAGGTCCCAGGCCCCGCCAGGAAGGGGCAGTCAACTACAGACTTACAGCAGCCTTGCTTCAAGCTTCTCCAGCAAGGCCTGCCGGTGTCACAAAGTACCAATGCCAGAGGTGGAAGGGCTCTGAGCTTATCCAGTCCAGGCTCCAGGATACACCCAGGAGGCAAGGGAGGCCCAGAGGGCAGTAGCTTGCCTAGGATCACACAGTCATGTCTCCCAACAGATGGCCCAGACTCCTAGATGACAGATGGCCACATCACTGCCCTGGGCCCCTCTCCCATCGTGTGCTTCCTTCAAGGTCAGAGCAAGGCCCACCTGCCCAGTGTGTCTTCTAGGATCCCGTCCCTGGCCCCACCAGCATGCTGCTCCCTCACTGGCAAACTCTTTCCTCTGCCAGAATGCCCTCCTCACCCACTGGCCCTAACAAACTTCTAGTCATCCTTCAAGGCCCAGTTCAAATATCATCTTTGCTAAGACAACAATAATAGTCACTCCTACTTGCCAAGTATCCATCCCCACTATGTTATGGAAAACCAAAAAGTTAATGTTGATGCTATTTGTGGGGTACCCCAAGTCCCCTAAGGGCAGGGACCTAACTCTGCAAGGCAGGGCAACAACACTATATGCATACACAACTCGTACAACTGAAAGCTTTACAAACTATGAAACCCTGTGCCAATAGAAGCTATCTGTATTATCTCCATGTCTCCTCCCCATGACTCAGTTTCCCCGCCTACGTAATGGATAAGCTTAATGAATGCACACAACAATATGTGTGTTGCACCTGGGATATGGCTGTGGCTTTTGACTGTCACTGTTCTTCTTTGTGTCACCTGCACTTTCTTCAGCCTCCCTGTGGACCCTGCCTGTGGCCAGCTCTCATTACATATTCTTCTGGAATGAATGACTGTATTTAGTATTTAAGATATAGAGGAAGATGGGGTTAAAATCCAGAGGGCGCATAAAGATGCAGAGTGAAATCTGATCATCAGAAGGGCTGCACTGTGGCCTCTGAACCCCAAGGTGGCTCAGCTGGGTGAGGGCGAATAGCATCTGATCTCATGGGACACAGGGCAGTTTTCCTCACAGGGCAGTGAGGAAATTCCCGCCTGGGCAGTGGGCCTCTGTGCTGGACCGTGATCCCTGTCAGGGAACCGGGCGGGGAGATTCCCGAGAGCTGGACTTAGGGACTGGTCTCTGCGGACAGCTGAGGGCTATCAGGGACAAGCAGGGACCCAGCCCATGACGTCCACTCCTTCCTCCCACCATAGGCGAGGGGACCAGGCAAGCCACTCCCAGAGCCTCAGTTCTACTGTGGAACAGGCTTCCAGAAGCCTACCTGTGGACGGCCTCTGGCACCAGACCCAACTTCTGCAAATGTCACGCAGAATTGATTTCCATCTGCCAGCAAGCAGCGAGGGCAGATCCTCTTTGGACAAATGAAAAGAATAGGTCCAGAGAGGGGGAGTGGCCCGCCCAGGTCACACAGCCAATTGAGAACGTTTACTCAGAGGCCATCACAAGTCATCAATGTCAGCATCCATGACCACTTGTCAACAGCGGCTGAGCTGGTTCAACGACAAGGTTTCCAGAGTGCAAAGAGGGTGAGTAGCTATCTATTACTGGCAATGATCACCACTCATGCCTTTGTTTAGATGCCCACAGACATTAATCGAGGTGGTCAAGGAGACCCTCTCTGTCACCGGACAGCTTAAAACCCATGAGACTGATGACTTCAGGTAACCTTGTCATTCAGCCCAAGCCACCGACATGCACTGGTGCTTTCTGTCTGTAAAGACACTGCATCTCTGGGTGACTTCCCAAGTCACTCTGGCTTTTCAACCAAAACCGGTAGCCACAGCACAGTGCTAGCCAAGGCCGACTGAGGGCTCCTGCTGAGGAGAGTCCCTGGACTGCTGAGCCAGGGTGGGCTGGCAGCCAAGCCTCACCCTGGCAGAAGGACAAGGTCTCAGCCTCCTCCAGCTGGCCTTCCTGTCTGGGTCCCTCCAAGTCTGCTCCACAGAACCCTCACATTCCAGGTGATTCTGGTATACACTCCACTCTAAGAAACAACCACTGCCTAGACCATGCCTTTCAGTGGGGGCTCTGGTGTCTCCAATGGGCAAAAATTGATTCTTTGGGAAGCAAAAAAATTCACTCATTTCATACATAAAGCATAGATACACAGAGAGTTTAAAGACATATTCAATATAGTTATGGTATTAGGGTTTCATCGGGGAGCAATTAGAGGTAATGTATCTAAAAGGCTCCTCCGGAGGATGATAATGAATAAAAAGATTGAGAAACACTGATCTCGACAAAGGAGCCATGACATTGAGCAGGAAGACACTTCTTAAGAATGGGAAAATGGTAAGAAGTGCTCCCAGCCCTGCCAGTGAGGAAAGAACCCCCGTTACAATTGCACCATCTGATTCATCCCTCTCTTAAAGCCGAAAGGCAGAGGGGCGAGCAGGTCCTTTCCTGGACATATCAGCCTGTGCCTGGTAAAGCAGAGACCATGGAAACGGCACCCATGCAGGCCCTGGGGCTGCCATGGAGGCTCATGAGGGCCTGCCTCACATCAGACAGAGCAGCGAGGGAAATGGGATCCAGCAGGAGTTGAGTGTGAGGAGGACAGAAGCCACCTGTGGTTTTCTGGTTTGCAACATGGAACCAACTACAGGAGGTTCCCTGGCCTGGGAGGAAGAGGGAACTCAGAGCAGAGAGCCACGAAGAGCAGGCTGGCTTCGGGGCCAGAGACAGTGGGGCACAAGGAAGGACACAGTAGTAAAGATAGTAACAGCAGCTGATACCGACAGCCTTGACCATGTGCCAAGCAGGTGCCAACCACTGGCCATGCTGCCTGGTGAGGTCGGTCATATTGTCATCACCAGCACTTCAGGTCCCGGAGGGCAGGGGCCATGTCTGTCTTAGGCAGTGCCATATCCGCCAGGCTGGACACAGGAGCACGCACAGTAAATATGTGCAGATTAAACACTGCTCCACGTGCAAGGGAAAGGACCACCAGAGGGCAAGTAACATATCCAAAGCATGGTGGCTCATGAGTGGCGCAGCCAGGACCCAACCCCAACAAAACCCACCTGCCTCACATCTGCATGCATCTGTACTCAGATCCCTGACAGGTGAGCTGTGGTCCCGGTGTGTCAGTAGATGGTGGGGGATCAACAGGATAAGGTACAATCCTATCTTGGCCACTTTAAAGCCGACAGAGTGTGAACCTGGTGGCCAGTGGGATATGTGGGGTTCTCTCTGGAAAGCAGCGCAGCCCCCGACTCGGCCCAGACTTCAGGCCGTGCCCACAGGAATCCCAAACACATGGGAGCCAAGGAGAAAACCACATTGGTCTGGCTCATGGGCGGAAGGGGGGACGGCGGGAAGTGAGGGAGAGGATGAGGGAGTGGAGCTTGATGAGAGGCTTGTCCCTTACCAATCCATCGCAGTTGCTGATGGCGACAGCTGCCCCTGGCATGCCCGTGACACCCCCGGTGTAGACACACTCTCTCTGCAAGGGCTGCCGGAACAGCTCCTGAAAATCCTCCTGCCACTCCACTGTGGCTCCAGGCACAACCAGCCGCCGGTTGGCCCGCAGGTGTAAGTGCAGTTCCTCCCCGAACACAGTGACATTGAAGTAGAGGGAGGAGCGTCCCATCCTGCCAGGCTGCAGGGTCACTCCCTCAGGGCGCACTGGGCTTCGAGCCACCCGCAGGTGACTGGAGTGCAATGGTGGCGAGGGCCTCCTGTCCCCCTTTATACTCCCTGCGGAGGCTGCCGCTGGTCCGGACACCACATGGGAGAGGAAGCGTCCCTGAGAATCTGTGCTGCAGGGCACTGTCACACCATAGTCACTGAGTTTTCTTGAGAAGCGCAGCTCTGTTGGAAATAAAGAAAGAGTTACCGGATGGCTTGGGGGTAAAGAATCAGCCTGCAATGCAGACGACACAGGAGATGCAGGTTCAGTCCCTCAGTCAGGAAGATCCCCTGGAGAAGGGAATGGCTACCTACTCCAGTATTCTTACCTGAAAAATCCCATGGACAGAGAAGCCTGGCATGCACAGCCCATAGGATTGCACAGCTGGAAACCCCATGGGGACAGGAAAGGATCTGCAACATTGACTGTCACTTTGGAGGGACCCCTTTAGCCCAAATTCATCCACTTTTCACCCAGTGCTTCCTCAGCTCTTGGATCTCTGCACTCAGATGATCAGTGTTCACGTTCATAAATTGCTAGACCCAAATTGCTTGCAATAATCCCCAGGTCTTTGTTACACTTAGCAGAGGAAAATAAATGATGCCAAACAGAATCCTGTCACTCTAGCAACAAACCTTCCAACTTTGGGCACTACAAAGGAAATTCCCTGAAAGCCCCTGGGCAAAGAGAGGGGTGGCCGGATGTGCCCAAACTCCCCAGGGAACTGAAGTCACCAGCCCAGCCTAGGGTAGGGCCCTCCTTGATGAGCTCCTAGAACACAGCTGGCAAAACAAACACACCTAGAAACTCAGGGCATCCTGGGCACGCATCAGGGAGAAAAGAGGAGCTGGAGAGGAAAGGGAAAGAATACAGGTTGTAGGTTTTTCCAAGTTTAGAAAGGAAACTTTTTTAAGCAGCACAGTGGCTGCCGAAATTTCTACATGGCCCAGCCCCAAGCTGGGTAAATATAGATCTTCAAAAATAAAAGGAGACGCACGGGTGACCTGCCCACTCGGACTGAATTAAGTGTGAGGTCATGGCCCCATGCTCCAGGCTACGTGCCAGCGGCCCGTTCTTACACAGCTCTCGCTAAGCCCAGCCAGGCCGGGCAGGAATGACAGCTCCCTGGCTTCCAGGCCGAGTGATTCATGGATAGGAGCTTGGGAGGAATTTTCATTTCCACACGGCTCTATCTCTTGCCTCCCAGCCCCCTTCACGGCACTGATAAAAACCTAGAAAATGGTGTGTCCTGAAAATCCCTCATGCCCAAGGCAGTTATGAGGGGTGGGGGACAAGGAACTCTCCTCTGGTTCTATCCAGCCCAGCAGAAGACCCTCAAGACTTCAGCCAGAGGGATCCTGTTTCCTACATGAACAGAGCTCAGACGAGCAGGCACTCTGTGGGGGAAAGACCAGAGCCCCCTCCCCATGCTCAGAGACACCAAAAGGGCACCCCATACTGCACGGGTGATGGTGGAGTGTGTCTGGTATCTGTGACAGGGTGTCTGCAAGACACAGCGTGACAATACTGGGGGAGAGAGATATGTGTGTGTTTGTGCAGGAGTGTGAGTGTCTGGTGTTCACTGGGGTGCGGGGCAACCACTTGACACACACCTACACGCACTTATCTGTACACACATGCATACAAGCTAGAGACAGAGAAGGCAGGGAAAGAGGAGAGGAGAGTGAGAAAGAAACGCTGAGACAAAGAGACAGATACACAGCCCCTCAGAAAAGGCTTCTATCCCCCAATCCTCTCCTGGGGTCTCTTCGGAGTCTCGCACCAGAAAAGGAGAGAAATCCCCGACAGCTTCGGCGGCACTGGGGGAAGAAAAGAGAGCACAGCCAGAGTGTGCGCACAGCCTCCCACCCACTTCAACGCTGCGGGGCACCTCGGGCACCCTCGGGCCACCCCGACTCTCGTGCATACCGAACCGGTGCGCCCCAGCGCACCCCACCCGCACGCACCTGGAGTCCCGCTGCCCGCGGCGGCGCAGAGCGCACAGTGCAAGAGCAACAGGCAGGACAGCCGTGCGCAGAGAGGAGCCATGTGGCTGTGGGCCGGGCGGGCGCCGAGCCCCAAGCTCTGGGCTGCAAGCGAGGCTGGGGCGCGAAAGGGGCTCCGGCCGGCCTCCGCCTCCTCCGCCGCCGCCGACTGCCGCCTCGCAGCCTCCTGCCGCCCGATCCCGGCCCCCTGCGCGGCGCCGCCGCCTGGACCGCTGGCTCCGGGAGCCCGAGGCTGCCGGCGGGAGAGCGGAGCAACCAACGCGCCAGCGTCCCAGTGCCAACTGCCGGCGGGTCGGTCCGCCAGCGCCTCGACGCTCCGGGACGCTCCGGGAGCCAGGCGAGGGGACTACGGGGCGGGCCGGGGGTGGGCACACTGGCGGGGCGGGGCCGGGCGCGGGTCGGAGCAGGGGGCGCAGAGCGCCCGTGGGCGGGGCACAGGGCGCGGATCGGAAGTGCCACGCGGAGCCAGAGCCGGGGCTCCGGGCGCCCGGGGCGAGCGTCCCCTCAGCCTCCTTGGCTCCCCCGGGGTGACAGCCCTTACTTTCCTAGGCTCCTCCGCTCCGCTTGACTTGACGGCCCCCCTTACTTGTTTCCAGAGCCACTGGGCCGATGGGATGTCCACTGCCTTTGGATGGGAGATAGTGAACACCCCACCCCACCCCCTGCCCCGAGAGTGTCTCCTTTCTCTCTTAATGGTCTCGATGCCCCCAGTATTCTTCCACCCTTTGAATCTATACATTTTGGAGTCTAGTCACCTGCCCCCAAGTGCAGTGACTGATCTGTGTCCTAGTCCAGAGCAGGGCTGAGCAAGGTGGGCAGAGAGCCCTGCCTTTACAGTCAAACAGCCCTGATTGAAATCCTAGCTTTGCACCTCAGCTTCCTCATCTGTGAAATGGGTGTTAATTATAGCACATAGTTAGGTTTCAGTAAATGATAACCATCCTCTGCTTCCAAACGTAGCACCCATGTACCCGCCAAACAGCCTTCGGTGGTAAAAAATGAGTCTAAGAGATAAGAATGGGTGCTGGTTTTGCAATGTTGCTGAGACCCGTTCAGTAGTCAGGCAAAAAGCCCAACTCCTGCTTGCTTTCCTGCTTCACTCTATAAATGTGCTGCTAACAATTTGTAAATGCACTGTGAATCCAGAGATGGGAATTGGAGACAGCATTTTGTTTTTTTGTATTGTTTTTAAGAATTGCCAAATAAAAGAATCTTTCTGTAAAGTGTATAAAGACCCCGAATCTTTCTGCTTCTGAGTTCAGACATTTTGTCATGGGCTTTCTTAAAGGGAAGCCAACATATGGATAGAAATTCTCTGACCTGACTTCTCTTAGGAATTTCTGGGTCCCCTGAAAGAGAACATGGGTTCCTGCTGTTTTCTCCCCACATGAGGTTTCCTAGTCTATACCCTCCCTGGGCTCTGAATATGTTCCCGATTTGTGGGCAGAGAGCTAGAAAACTCATCCTCACAGCTCCAGGACCTGACTTAGGACCTCCTCAGAGGAAGCACTCGTGGAATGAATGAAATGACATCAGGATTTTGGAGGGCCAGTACATTTATGAAGCAGGTTCAGAGAGCTGAAATGACATGTCTCAGGTCACACAGCTCATTTGCAGCTAAGCTGGCATTAGAACCCAGAATCTAGTGCTGAGTGGGAGAGAGAGACAAGGGTAGGGGTCAGAGACTGTTCTGGGCTAGACTCTGCCCAACACAAAGTGACCAAGAGCAAGTCATTTTTCTCTGTATTGCACTACCTCATCTGTGAAAGGTGAGGTCAAAGGGTGAAGATACTGGGAGCCACAAACATAAACTCTGAAGTCCTGTGGAAATGCAATGTGTGTTCAATTCCACGCAAGATCAGAGCATCCAGTTATTTGAAATGTTATTACCAAACTGGTCTATATTAAGTCTGGGAAAAATAGAGTTCTCTTTCTCCTCTTTCTGGTTCTTTAAGATCTGTGAAGTCAAAGGCCAGAGTGTGGTTTTGTGTGTGAGGGCTGATGAAGCAATAGTGTGAGGGGGACCCATATGTTAATGGGAGCTTGCAGGAGAGGCAGTGAATTGTCTCCATTCTGGCCCTCCATGAACTCAGCAGGGGAGCTCAGGATAAAATAGCCTGCCTCCCTTCTCAGGGGCTCAGTTTTCCCAGCTGCAGAGTGGGGGGCCCTGTGGTGACGGAAGGGAAAATTCATAGTATGTGATTGATAATTTTCTCCCTCTTTGGGGCCATCCCAGAGAAGCTTGCCTAAAAACCTCAGGGGCCCAAGTCTCCTCCCTGGACTCCACCCCCTACTTCCTGCCTTAGACTTGGTTAAGTCAAGAAAGAGAGACTACAGCTGGGACCCCAGCAGCCTGACTCATGAACTGTGGGCTGGGGCCTTCCCTGGAGCCAGTCTTGGCAAGCAGAGAGCAAAACCTCACCCTGGCTCTCTACCCCAACCCCCTTCCCTGGGGCTACAATGGTTGCTTGTGTTGGCAAACAATGTGTGTCCAAGCTCTTTTCTACTGAGGAAGCCTTTGTTGGGAAGAGGGGACATTGGAGCAGAGTGCAGTCTGGGCCAGACGGTGGGGGAAATGGCTGGGTGGCCAGCCCTGTTTCTGGAGAAGATCAGAGCCAGAGCAAAGCAATCTACAGGCATCTGCTGGCACCCCCCAAGGAAGGCAAGTTCTGGGTCCCCAGTCTCTCACCTGAGATCCTACACGGGTGGGGAAATGGCTTGGATGTTTCGCATCCTCACAGCCCTCCGACACTTGCCCAACACTCCTCCCATCCAAGGCCCTGGTAGGGAAAGAGGAGATGCAAACAGCTCGCACTGCACAGTCAGCGACCCCCTGGAAGATGTGACAGGTGTGTGAGAAAGCCTGACGACCAGGGGAGACTGGGATGGCAAAGCAGCCTGTGGATGAAGCAACAGGGTCACCTGTGAGCAGCCCCTGGGGAGGAAGGCAGCCTGTTCTCCGAGCACAGACAAAACCCCAGAGACTTGAGCTGGAGATGCCTGGAGACAGTCTCCAAGCCAGTGCCCCACCCTCCATTTCACAGGTGCCCTCTAGAAAGGGACGGGACCTGCCTCTACTCACCCAGCTAGAGGGAGAATGGACCCCGCGCTTCAGAACCCAGGCACCTGCTCGCTCACTAGCAGGAGCACAGCCTCTCTCCTCCAGGCACCAGTTCTTTCCCTCTCCTGCTCCACCTTCCAAAAGGAAGAGGAAGTGGTTTGCAGTTGAGACCAAACAATCTCCCCTCACAGGGGGAGTCACAGATGCCCCCTAAAACAGTAAGAGTCTCCGCCTGAGACAGGTCTCCGCAGCAAGAAGCCAGGAAGCCCCTGGGAGGGGGGAGGGGGGACAAGAGCAAGACACAGTGGAGGTGCGATATTGTCACAGTTCAGGGGCGCAGCAGGTGGCTGTCGATTGTTGAGTGCCAGCTGCTGTGCTTTAGATGTCACCCTGAAACACACACAGAGCATCCCTTTCTTATAACTCCTGGTGTGACCAGTGACCCGCTGGGCTCCGACACACTCAGGCGAGGAGAGAGGGAATCCCGCCCTAGTTCAGTGAGAGCCGCCACCATCCACCCAGTCAGTAAGCCCGACAGCCAGGCCACCTTAGTCACCAACTGAACTCCAAGCCCTGTGGAATCTACTCCAAAGGACCCCCAAATACAGCTACTTCCGTCTCAAACGTGCCCCCCAACCCCAGCAGGTCACCAGCCACTGTCACCATCAGTCACCAGCAATCACCACCAGTCACCATCCTTTCACTGGCCACTGCTGTAAGTTTGTCCGAACAGATCCTTCTCCCCCCAGCTCTGCCCCCTGAAACCTCTACTCCAACTGCATCCAAGGACATATTTAAAACACACCATAGGTCATGTAACTGCCTCTGCTATAAACCTCCAGAGGTTCTCTTACTCTGGGGATGAAGACTAGACACCCTGACACAGCCTCTGAGGCTCTGCACAGGGTGGTCCTGCTGACCCTCCTTTCCTCTATATCCCCACTAAACTCAGATAGAAATGATGGTTGCACAATTCTGTGAATATAATAAAAACGCTGAACTGTACACTTTGGAAGAATTAATTTTATGGCATGTGAATTATATCTCAATAAACCTGTTTTAAAAAAGAAAGAAAGAAAATTTGGAGAGTTTAGTATTTCTCAGAACAATCACCCCAGGGGGAAACCCGAGACATATACATTCACAGCCCTCCAGCCTCGCTCCAGGTATGCACCATGCTCGCCTTGCCTCAGGGCCTTTGCACAGGCTGTCTCCTCTGTCCTGGATGCTCTATCCTGCCTCTGCCCAGACAATCCCTGTTGTCCCTGACTGAAGCCTGTCCTGCCCTCCCAACTAGGTCACATCTCCCTGTTATTTATCACACCATCTCTGTCTGTCTCCTTCACAGCACTTCTCACTGTTAAGTTTTACCTCTTCGGAGTGATTCACAGATAACATCTGCTTCCCCCCAGATCATGAGTTCCACAGGGAGCAGGGAGCTTGTCTGGACTTCTTTCCATCTTGCATCCTCAGTGCCTGTCCTGTGTTTGGCACCTAACAGACCCTCAATAAATATTAAATAATCAAATGAAGGGGAGCTGGAGAAGGAACAGTTCATAGAAAATTGGGGGAGATATATATAAAAACTGGCTAGAACAGATAAATCTGTATAGAGATACTAAGTAGGTTATCTGCTGCCAGGGGTTGGGGAGGAAAACAATAGGGAGTGACTGCTAATGGCTATTTGGGACTTCCATCTAAATTCAGATAAAAATGATGGCTGCACAATTTCGTGAATGTAATAAAAACACTGAATTGTACACTTTGGAAGAATGAATTTTATGGTGTGTGAATTATATCTCAATAAAGCTGTTTTAAAAAGAGAAAGAAAGAAAATTTGGAGAGTTTAGTATTTCCCAGAATAATCATTCCAGGGGGAAAGCTGAGACATATGCTTGCAAGTTCTGATTCCACCATCAACATGAAGGTCACTATGTTCCAGGAAGAGATGGGAGAGAAGAGTTGCCTTTGTGTCTCCCCCA